GCCAGCCCCCAAACACCCGCTCGCTTCCCCACCGACCACCGGGCTCAGGGCTCGTCTGCACCTTCCTCCACCACCGAACCCAAGCTCGCTGCCTGCCCCGCTACCCACCGCCGCGTTCCCTTCACTGAATGGGTCTCGCCTTCACCGTCCACCACCATGAACGGCATGTCACGCTTTCTCAGCCGGCGCGACAAGCATCATGAGAAGCGCGCGTCCAAGCACGCCCATACCAAAGTACGCCTGAGCTCCTTCGCTTCTGTCAACTCTCTCAGTCCTTTGCTATGCTCGGCCGCCGTCGCGCTGCCGGAAGACTCGCCCAGCTGCCAGCGGCGCTTGTCTGCCGGCATCGAGACGCTGTACCACAAGCTCCCATTTGTACTGCGAACATCGGTAGAGGATAGTCTTCTATTTCTACACCAGAAGCTACCATGCCGTGCTTCTTCTCTTACACCCAACGCCGATCCACCTTCCACATCGCATTCTTCTGACTATGTGTCTCTACAGTCCAAATCCACCAATGCTTCGCCCGACCTCTACAGAATATTCACGAGCGAAGGTCCCAGACCGCCAGCGAACAATGAGTCCGAGAAGAAGGTACGCGAGGGAACAAGGCTGCATGCAACCTGGCTAACCGGCTGCAGGTCAAGATGCTCCTTTCACGCCTACAAGGCGCCGGCATAACCAGCATGGGAGAGGAACAGGCCGAACATGCCCTCGCCTGGCATCCCAACGACATCGACAAAGCCTACGATCTTCTAGTGCTCGCCAACGAATCGCTCGAAGGCGAGCTGAAGGACTTCAGTCCTGACGTGACCATGCTGGGCGCCATAAACCGGAACATGGTGACGTGCTATCTGGACGCACTGCTGTTTGCCATGTTCGCGCGTCTCGACAGCTTTGAGGCCATGTTGTACGACAACTTTGAGGATGAGCCAAGGAAGAAATTGGCGGCTGTCTTGCGCTTATGGGTCAATCTCTTGAGGAGTGGTCAGCTCATAAAGGTCGATTTGGTACGACCTACCTCGTCATCCAACTCCTTCGTGGCTAACGCACATCGTAGACAAAGCATCTCCAGGATTCGCTTGCCAAGTGCGGATGGGAAGATGCTGCACAGGTCCGTCAACAAGACGCTTCGGAAGCTTTCACTTTCATCACTGGTGCGCTCGAGCTGCCGCTACTCACCCTCAAGATGGACATCTACCACACCGGACGCGAAGACAAGGAAGATGACCACAAGTTCGTCAACGAACGGCTGCTGGAAGTCGCCATTCCAGAACAAGAGGGCGATCACATTGTCACATTGGAAGACTGTTTGGAAACCTATTTCAACAACAGAATCGAGGTCAAGCGATACCTGCAACGGCAAAATACGATAGCATCCATCAAGTCCAAAGACGAAGAATTCGTAGACAAGGATCCTGAGAAGAATGAGACAATACATATAGAGACGATGGAGATGGAGGGCTCGATGACCCCTCTCGTCTCTACGCCTATGACTTACGAGCCAAGCACACCACTAACTCCAACGCGACCAAATCTGCAAGGCCGCCGTCGCGCTGATAGTATCTTCAGCCAGCGATATACACGTCAGTCACAGGAAACGAGCAAGTTTGATGAGAAGAAGCATGTCGAAGACATGCTGGACAACAGCTCTAGCGGCCGACCACGATCAGCTTCTCTACTTAAGAAGGAGATTCTCATGCCGGCCTGGCAGTTCTTCAGTCTCATCCCCTGGTATACCGACAACGTACCAAAGACCGATGCTCAAGTCGCTGCGCATTTCTCGGTGAAGCGTCCGGTTCTCGGCATATGCCTGAAGAGATATACGATGACGCCGCACGGCGCTCCAAAGCGTCTGAATACATATATCGACATTCCGCTCGATATCGGTTTACCTCACTTCATATCTGATGATCGGATGAAAGAAGAAGGTCCGCTGTTTGGCAATTTCAAACTTGTCCTCCAGTCTGTCGTCTGTCATCGGGGCGTATCAGTCGACTCTGGCCACTATATTGCGCTTGTCCGTGCCAACGCTCGCGAACGACCTGGCACCGCGCAATCAGATTCGGAGGAAGAGCTGGAAAAGTGGTTACGCTTTGACGATCTCTCGCCGCAACGGGTGACTGAAGTTGACATTAAGACAGCCTTGCGAGAAGAGTCACCGTATCTGCTCTTTTACCAAGTGCAGCCGATTGATGAAGAGCTCGCTTCCCGGGGAGATCCGCCCACATATGCAGAAGCGCAATCAGGAGTTCCGTCCGTCGACCCTTCACGAGAAACGCTGGCTTCCCTGCCCTCTACAACAGCCGCGGATGCCGAGGCCGGTGTAGAGAACGACAACTTCAACACCAAAGATCCGCATACTGAATCCAATTCTACAGACGAGCCAGCTAGTCGAACCAGCATGTCCAGCAATCGGCGCAGCAGCACCGCGATCGAGGATGGCGAAGGCAGTCTACGTGGCCGAACTGAACCGCAAACACCAGATGATCAGAAAAGCAGCTTCTTGTCCGTATCCCGGCGCGGCTCTCGAATATGGTTGTCTGGGAACAACAGAAGTCGACCAGGTAGTCCAAGCGGCGAGACTCGTTTGTCTCTTACGTTATCGAGGCTAACGGGACGCGGTAGCAAGGACAAGCTGGTTACGACTGAAGCAGCTCCCAGCGACGAACCTCACATTGTGATTGAAAAAGTGAAGAGCGTAGAGAACGATCAACAGGGCCACTCTCCAGCCAAAGAGAAGAAAGAAGCAGGTCTATCGGGCAGCAAGAGCAAGAAGGAGAAGAAAGACAGACGGAGGAGCAAGAGTAGGGAGCCTGGTACAGTCCTAGACAAAGGGAAGAATAAGGACAAGAACAGGCCGGATCGCGAATGTCTGGTGATGTGAGGAAGGCAGGATTTGTGTATGTGGGAGAAATTCCTCTCTGTTTGTTCGTTGGTTGTTTGCATAGCATATCGCCGCGACACCGTTTCGCGATTGGGTGTCTACGAAGCCGGCGAGGGAGTTTTGAATCATTAGCGCGGCGTCATTGGAACATACAGAGTATGGCTTGATATTGGATTTGTTATGGCATATGCATGTTGGGGACTATAGATGAGATACCCTGCATCAGAACGATCAGAAGGCGCGAATGGCCTTCTCAATCTTCCATCATAGACCTGTGCACCTTCTATACTCGTGACGCGCACCAAGACTTCTGTGTCGTTCTCGCCCTATGTGTCTAGAGAAGGCATTAGATAAGACTAGAAGGGTGAATGCCTGTTGGGGCTAGCCAGCGGCGGGCAACAACCTGGCCTCTTGGGTCGCGCTAATCATGACCCTCGCCCACCACAAAAGTCGCCCGCTTGTCTTTACCCTCTCACCCACGTTCCGCGCAACCACATCTCTACCCCCAGCTTCTTGTCAAACGATCGCGAAAGCGACCTTCAATTCTTCACCCGAACAATCCGCTTCCAACGTCACCATGGCCATCAGCCCGCAAATGTACGCTGGATCCACTGCGCCCAGTGTTGAAGACAGTTTGCTAACTCGACTGCAGTTCCAACCTGGTCATCATCCTGGGATTTATGCAAATCTCCAAGAAGATACCTTTCGACGACCCGACTGTCCTCAACGGCGTGCGCGCGCTCTACATCGTCTCCAACCTGATCATCGCGGGTATCTACCTCTACGTGCAGGCGCAGATCAACAAGAAGAATGGTGCGTGGAAAGAAAGCCCAGGGTAGACCGACACAGCGGCTAACAAATAGCACAGACATGACCGTCGTCAAATACGTCGAGCCGGCCCCGATGGGCTCAGGCGAAGAACCGAAATTCGTCGCTACCACCGTCAAAGCCTACGACCTGCAGAAGCTGCGCGAGCTCTTCAAGGCCCAGCTAATGGGTGTCGGCATGATGGGCGTCATGCACCTTTACTTCAAGTACACCAACCCGCTCCTCATCCAGTCCATCATCCCCCTCAAGGGCGCGTTCGAAGGCAACCTCGTCAAGGTCCATCTCTTCGGCCAGCCGGCAACCGGCGACCTCGCTAGGCCGTGGAAGGCGGCTGGTGGTATGATGGGCGCCATGAGCGGCGGCGAGATCAAGACGGATAAGAAGAGCATTGAGGCTGCTGAGCGTGCGGGCCGTGGCGGTGTCAAGGACGAGTAGATGGGCTGGTGTGCCGTTTCTACGGAGTTGCCATGCATGTGGTGTGCATGGGAGCTGTCTTTCTCGATAGAGCTTGTTCGGTTCGCTCGCACTTTACGTACGAACTTGGTTGAGCGACTATGCGCTTGCTAATTGTATAACATGGACGTCTGATGCTTTTGCCATTCGCCAACTTAATTCCACGGCTTGTACAAACACACTGCATGCGACCTGTCTTTACGTGTCCATGTATTTGGATCCTTTCTTAATGTCCGACTCCTACAGCTAACCTTATCACAAAGACCCGCTCCTCTATGTTTGATCTATGAAACGCCTGACCTCAATAAGCCTTGAGCTCTATGCTAACACGCACATATCCGTCCGTTCTAGCCATCGTCCAGGGCGGACTTCCAGCAAACGCCATACTAAACACAACACATGAACAGCAAGAGTGGTGGATTAGGCCTCCTTAGCCCATGTCCGACTCGCGTCGAAAACCGAGACAGCGCCATAAGGGTCACCGGTTTGCTTGCGAACAACGGCATCGTCCATGGGAGTTTAGAGAACCATATGATGCGTCGGTGGCAGATATTATTGAGAGTAGAGTGGTTGGCGAACATGATAAGTGAATGTTCGTCGTCCGCTCTCACCTAGGTAAGAGCCCCTCGTGGACGTAATGACCGCGCTACGGTACCGGTCCTTTGGGTTGGAGTTGTGAATGAAGTTATTCGTGCGACTTGGTGCGTTGCTTTCATATTCCCCCGCTCCACTGAGGGAAGTAGCCATCTTGCAACGGCATGGCTGCAGGTTCATTTTCGTAGTTAAAAGGGTCGCCCCAGAAACCCTGGTTTTGTTAGCCAAATGACCCCGTCTACCTAAGCATGTCAAGGTCACTTACGAAATCAAAGTCGGGGATTACATCCGTGCTAGCTTGTACGTCGCCTACGATGTTGTTGATGTTGTTGAGATTGATGTCATCCCAGCAAGGCGCATTGTCTTGCATAGACTGCATAGACTGCAGCAAGTCGGGTTGAGTCTGCATGGGTTCTGGTTGAGATGGTCCTGGCATGTTTTGTTGGTTGTAAGCTGCAGACGGGTTTTGGTAGGCGTAGCTTGGGATGCCTTGCATTGCCGGATATACGCCCGTGTTGCTGTTGGGTGCGTTGTTGTTCAGCGGCATGGGAATGGAAGGCACGATGGGTTGGCTGACGTAGGTAGTCGATGGCTGCGGTGGCCCTCTTGGCGAGAGATTATGTTCTGAGACGGCCTTGTCGATCATGTTTTTGACTGCTTGCCATGCTTTGGCGCTGTTGTTCTCGCGGAGGATACGAGACATCTGGAGGGCTCTTAGAGCGCGTTGGCGGTCAGGTGCGTTGAAGAGGGGGTTGCGGAGTTCTGATAGGATATGCATGATGGCTTGGAAAGACGCGATTCCTCCTTTGAAAGTTAGCTCTTGTGTCTCACTGGGTGGGTATTGTCGGGGTTACGGACCAATGTGCCATTGGAAGCGAGCAGCATCGACATCGGCTGCGGCTCCGTTTAGTGTTTCGACGCAGTTTACTGACTTCTCGAAGATCCTAGCATTATCAGCCATTGTTGTTTCTCGTTAGGGCCCTGACTGGAACGTACGATCGGCGGATCTCGTCCGAAAAGACTACATCGCGGTAAGCACGCGGCATCCGAAGCCAAAACAGTAAGTAGGCACGCCACTCCAACAGTGAAGCCAGTCCCAGCGTCAGCCTCTCCATTGGCACCTCTGGGTTAAGGTTATGCAAATATTTTCGCTGATTCTCTTCATGAACTTCGTCGAGCATCACTTTGATCTGCTCATAAAGATCTCTGAGTTCTTGTGCTGGATCAGGACGAGATGTTCCATGGAGTCCTGAGTCTAGCATGCGGCGTTCAAGGCGGTAAGTGCTTTGAACTATACGCCGTAGAGCTCGCATGCCGTTGAACCGGACAAGTTGGAACGTCATAGTAGTAAACTTCGGTTCGTCATACGGGGCCGGACCGGGACTTGCGCCATCTACAAGGTCCTCATCGTTGATGTTTCGTGGAAACAGCGTCGTGTAGAAGTCTTCGGTGATGCTCGGTTCCTGCCCTTTGCATTCTGCTGCCCGGAACTCCAAATGCCCTAGTTGATGCCACATACGCCGACGTAGCTCAATAGTCAGAGCGTCCATGGAGCCGGTCGGGAATAACGATGGATCTCGATGCAGGCCTTGATTCAAAGCGATGCGAAATGCAATGCCTATCAGAACCCACGCTTTTCCTGCTATATGTGTGAGCGTTGCAGAACTATAAACATCTAGCACACTTACCCATATCTTCTTCTCTGGTAATACAGGTCAACCATAATACAAATCCCTGGAATATCTCCAGATTCGATGTTGTGAGATAGTTTTCCCGAGCCAGTGAGATCTCAACACCCAGCTGAAATCGATCGAGGAGTGATTCCTTTGTCTCGCCAAACTTGTTGTGGACTACCTTTGGAGGCAGAGAGTTGATCGCAGAGAAGTAGATGGCATAGGCCATGGGATGTGCTTCGTTGTTGTAGGTGGAAAATTTGCGCATCACCGTTGGCCTATGGGTAATTCTCACCATAGGATCTACATTTGCGAAATAGACGTCCAGCAGCGTGTCACGGTGCTCTTTTGTGCTCGGTAGCAGGTTTTCTAGATTTGATCCGGCTCCTGCGCGACCGAGGGAAAGTAGGTCAACCAGACTGCTTTGCGGCACTTCCTTCCTCTCTTCGTCGGTCTTATCACCAAGCAAGGCCTTGATGTCTTGTATCTAAAGCTCAATCAGTATTGTTCAATATTCCTAGAAACAGAGAAATACAATAAGAATGAATGTAGCTTTCGCTCGGTGCAACTCGGAGATATGTTCTGTCATGTCGAAAAGCGGCACTCACCTCATCGGCCAGTAATGCAAAATGCAGAGACGAGACAAACTGAGACTGCCCATCATTCAACAAGAGGGTCCCGTCGCCACCATCAGAAGCGATTCCTCCTCCATGGGAAGTCTGGCTATTCGACGATGGGGTCAGCGCCTCCACTTCTTTCCTGTCTAATTCAACACTGGACCGTACGGATGCCGTGGATTTCGCCCCCTGTCCCGCAACAGCTTTCTCTAAAAGATATTCGAGTCTGTCCAACCGGGCTTGCACGTCACTGCCTTTCCCGGTCTTTCCAGTGGCCCCAGCCGTGGGTTTCGAAATCCTTCCAGTAGTAGTGGATGCCGGTATTTGATCTGTCCAGGTACACACATGACTTCCTCGCATGCAAGAACCGCATACTGGATGAACGTGATCACATTTGACTTTCCTGCGCCGACATGTCAAACAAGAGGAGATGACGCGATGTCGTCCTCCGCTGGGTTTGCTTGCTGAGCCCGGCGAATTAGACGATATGCCGACTTTCGATTCAACCATGCTCGGGGACGGTTTGCGATAGTCTGCATGAGAGTCTTGAAGTTTTCGACAGGGTGGATCGGCCCCCGGGGAGGAATTGGTTCCGTCGCGCCTTGGTGTTCGTTGCGATTCTCGCCCCGCTAGCTGACGGGCCGCCGTTACCCGTTTGGGCCTTAGCGACGATCAACAATCTTCCTCCGAGAACTATCCGACCAATGCTTTCAAAGGTTGACAGCAGCAGACACCTCGGTACATGCATGGAAGTTTCATATGCCACTCCCGTTGACGGCCTAAGCGTGCTCCGAGGTCTCCAGCTTCGGATGTGGACCCTGTGTCGTCATAGTATCACATGCTAACGTCCTGTCACAGTGATAACTGCTTCCAGCTACAAAATCTGACGGTCAGAAATAAGTACGCTGACCGGAAGGAATCATTTGCGGTATTCGATTCATTCAGTTGATAGGTACCAGAACGGCGTCGGTCAGTTGTTGTGACTGGCCGTGCTTTTCGACTGCCCTGCACTATCCAAGTTACATCGCGATTCCGAAAGCGCAAGCTTGATTTGTGACCTCTGAATTCCTAATTCCTAGTTCACGTCCTCCTTCCGCTTCGTCGACACTTACCATAGATCTACCGGCTACAGTTCTATATACTCAGATGCATTGGGTGCACGGAAAAAATTAGAGACTGGGATCCACAAAAATGTGCTTATCACAGGCAGCACAGAGGCGCTTATCGTCCACAGTTCAATGAGAACCAGCGGGATGCTGACTTGCACGGGAATGGAGGCATCTCCGGACCTCCTGACTGGATTTACATGCTCCATAAGAGCGAGAGGGTAATTTGGAACGAAAACCGACAGTGAGGATAGCAACGTCTCAGTCTTCTCGGACCAGGTCAAATTTGGAAAAACCGCCCCATCCGATACTTGCAGTCAGCCTTGGAGGCATACCCCAGGTTCACCCTTCCCAGCCCCATTTCTATATAAGATTATTGGATGTAAATAGACAGCTGCGTCGTGTGATCGTATAACTGCTCTCACATTATATTAGAATTTTCGCCCCTATGTGGCATCGTATCTGTTACACACCCAGCGCTTTTACGCAACCATATAATAAGACATGCTTTTACCAACTGAACCCATGCAATCCGAACACCTTCAATAGATGCTGGTCATTTAATTAGCTCTTTACATCTACGGGATTTTCGTTCAAAGATCAAGATCAAGGTCAACAGCAGGCAGACAATCTTGAGCCCATTCAGACTACTCACAGTGTCATGTCGAGACACATCGAGTGCGATAACCTACCGGAACCTTGTGGTGGAGACGGTCTCCCTGTGGTCGGATCAGGTCTGCACGCCGTGGAGCACGAAGATGAAGGGAAGGAAGCCTGGATTTATCAACATGTCGTTACGGGAAACCCCACGCTCAAAGAGAACCAGTCGAAATCGATCGGAAGTTTGAAACCGTGGCTCTTCTGGTCCATACTGGTCGTTGTAAGCATTGTCGTAATCGCTGCGTCTGTGGGCGGAGCTGTAGGTGGCTCGCTAGCAGTCAAAGGGAACAGGAAAAATGCGCCACCATCTTCTGTGCAGAGGTAGTTCCCCCATGCCTAGAGAAACCATTGGCAAATGTATACTAATGTGTGAGCAGCGCACCAACCGCTATACTTCTGCCCAGCACAGGCGGCTCAAGTGATCGAACGTCCTCCGGACCACCGAGCTTCTCCTCCTCTAAACCCACGAGTGTACCCCCTTCCCTCGTAACCACGGACTGCCCAGCCAGCAACAGTACATCGTTCACACCCAGGGCACCGGAGGGCAATCCAGGACAATACGAATTCATCAAGCATTGTGGGTTTGACACCGACGGGCGGACACTGATCAAGGCCTTCGTCTTAGACCTCAATACATGTCTTGCACTTTGCTCGAATTGGAACTACCTACAAGCTGGGGGTGATAGGTGTAATTCAGCGGCATTCAAGGTTGACGAGCCACCGCCGGGGAATTGCTGGGCAAAGACAGGGACCTCATTGAAGCTAAGGGATGGGGTGACTGCTGCTCTCCTGCAATGAAGGGGCTGGGGAAGGTACTAGGCAAGGTACCCGAAGATGATTGGTGATGTGCAGTGTGGAGAATGCGGAGGCCGGAGGTATTCTGGTACTCCAGGATGGAGCTTGTTATCGTCCTCTAGAGCGCCCGAGCGGCCTTTGCGCGCTGTGCTTTTGGCGCGTCGGAAATTGCGTATATTGCCAAGTTACCATGACAGCAGAATTGAGTTCGTGAACATGTCGTGTCAGACGGTCGTGAACACGAAAAGACGTGTTGTTGCTGGCAAGAACATGGTTCAGGTGGATCCCGAAGTCGTCCCGTCGCGGTTCAGGTGACAGGCGCACGCTAGATAAGCGAAGATGCCGACAGCCTCCTCTTTTTCACCCAATCGTGGACCCATCGCCGTCTGCATGCACTTCGTCACACGTCACTGGTGTGATTGCAGCTCGTTTCGTCGTCTGCCCGCTCTTAGTGGTTCATGCTGAACCGCCAGGGCTGCCTTTCGCGGCGAGGCTGGGCTAGATAGCAGCAAAGCTTGCCTGCGCCATGCCATCTTCCTTGCTGAGGGCGTGCCCGTCAACTCGTTCAGATTATTCCGTCTACTCTCCCAAGGCCATAAACATCGCCGGCCCCGCTGCGAGCTTGTCCGAAGCTGATCTGAGATGAGACTGCGCGGACGCATAGCAGCATAGACTACCAAGAGGCTTCACCGCTCGCGGGATCAACATTGAGCGCATACCAGAAGGGCAAACATGCTCAGTCTTTGTTGAGATGGCGACTCTATCTCCTGGTGCGTGTGGGCATTTGGGGCTATTGGGATATAGCGCGCTGACCGAGTCGCATTCATAGACGTCCGCCATTCTACCCTCAAGTCGCTCAAACTGACCTGCCCCTCCGCCGAAGTTATTGAAGAACCGCAATCTGCATCGACCCTTGAATCACCTGTAATGGAGCAAGAAGGCTATCCATTCCCCGAAGTCGGAGACGAATGGTCTGACGAGGAGGTCCTGATACCCAGGCATAGACGGAAGGCGCCCTACATACCACCGCTCAAATTCGAGAAAGTTACAGCGACATCGGCCGAGACATCATCCGACGAATCATCGGCATTGGGCAGCCCGCAACGACTGAGCGCGACTATCAGTCCCCTCGTACCGCCCAAAAGCCCATCGCGACCAGACGCGTCGAGGGGTAAC